TAGTACTGCAGCTTGTACAGGATAACAAACAGACCCATTATCTTTCAGAGAAAGAAGGAAACCTAAAGTTTACTCACTAACCTCCTCTTATCATTTAAGAAAAGACAAAATTTAAGTAATTTGCATCCTCTAATGCTCCACCTATCTGACAATGCTATTTAGGTCATTATTATAATGAAGTTGAGAGACCCGTATTAAGTGAAAACAACATCTAGTAAGTTCCTTTTTTAAATTGAGGTTGACCTCACCTAGTTTTCAAAAGCTATTTATTATGTGACAAAGAACCTAATACTTCCCAAATTTATTTTGGGACAGAGTCTATACAATTAAGAATCTAGGCTGCCCCTTTTCTGCAACAAGTAATTGGCACACTCAGAGGAAACATCAGTTCAAACATAAAGGAAGGAAATTAGGTTAAAATTTTTTAAATGTTTCCCTGAAAACTGTAAACTACCTCATTATATCTATCAGGCAACAGAACACATGGATGGATGAGCAGAGATTTTAGTACAGAAGACGATTCTTTAAACACAAAATGCTGATTCTCCTTTATCTATATGAAACCAATTACATGTGGAGGGCACAAAGATTTTGCATTGCCAAGAAAAAAAATTAGCACTAATCCACCACTTAAGAAGTCTTTCTGTTTGTTTTATTCTTTTTCCCATAAAGTATTAAGTATAATATGTTCCTTGCCCTGTAATGTAATTGGTCCCACACTCCAGTTTAAATATGGTTTAAATAAACAAAAACACTAACAAAATTGCAATTAAAACACTCACATTTAAGGAAACACAACTTAGAAACTAATACTAGAGAAGCCACAAAGACAAGAAATTTCAACAACACAAAGTTTAGAAACAATACTTCAATTTTTATGTCTTAAAAGTTTCTCTTTAGTCAAAACTGTTATCTACCAGCAAGAGGCTTGAGCTGAAGCCAGTCAGCATCTGGTGTATTATTTAACTTATGATCTGAAAGTTTCCTTCCAATAGTTGATTCTTCTGTGCTCTGCTTCATAAACCATTTCTGTTTTCCCTGAAAAAAAAAATCTGATATTAATACCAAATCAGCAACCATAATTAGCAACAATATTTCCTTGTTAACATCTACTGGGATAACCAGTGGTATTATAAATAAATTATTTAGAAAAGGAGAAAAAAATTTAGAGGTTAATCAAGGGGGGTGTCTAACCAGATGGAAAAATCCAGCAAAATTTTTATGTTACTGTTTTTTATCAAATACCCAATGAAAGGGTTCAATTGCTCTACTTCAAATTTAAGAATAGGTTACATAGTAGTATATTATTAAGTATGTGCAGGAATATTATCACTTAATAATGTGCAGGAATACAAAGTTCCAAAAGATTAAAGTTTATTCCTTTGAATTTCATTTTGTGTTTAAGGCAATTTCATATTTCCCTATATGTGATAAAATGGACAGAGTCAAACTTGAGTTAAAATCTCTAATCTGCAATTTACTTCTGAGACTTGGACAAGTTTAACTTACTGAATATAATATCAATACTCATCTGTTAAGATAAAAAGGATAGATTCTTATGAGGATTAAATGAGGTGACATATGAAAACCTATCAATAACTGATTTTTTATAGTTTTGCAATAAAGACAAATTTTATTTCTCATCTAATCTATCCTCAATTACTAATAAATTCTAATTATTCTATTTCACTGTTTAGGTCTGAATTTTCCTATCTTATCTCTTAATAGTATGCTTTGTTCTTTTACTAACGTAACCCACTAACACCTCTTCCAACTTAAAATGTCTACTTCTAATTTGTTAACCTAAGACAGCAAAATATCAAGGGTATTAGAACAGTGTGAAAATAAAAGTATTCTCTGGGAATGCATACTGACTGACGGGATTCTTCTGTTGTGTTTGCTTACAGGATATGAACTATGTTTCAGAGTTTGTCTTCCAACTGCTGCATAAGTAAGCTTGTTTCAGCCAGTTGAGTGTATGGTAGAGTCTCCAAAAATGGCCATCATCAATTTCTTCCCTCCCTGATGAGGTGGAACCTCTCCCCTGGCCCTGAATTCTGGCTGGCTTTTTGACTTGCTTTGACCAATAGAATGCAACAGAAGTGATACCGTGCCAGTTCTGTGACTAGTCTGGAAGAGGCCTGGCACCATTTGCTTTTGCCTGCGGAAACTAGCCACTGTTATGATGACACTCAGTCTGGACTCTAAAGAAAAGCCATGTGGAGAAGTACCAAGAGGCAGACATTGGGTGAAACGTTCCTGAACCTTCCAGCCCTGCTCTGTCCATGTCAACCCATGTCAGCCTAGTTCACAATGTAGTAGAATGAGTGACTCTATCTGATGCCAAGTGGAGCAAAAGAACTGCCCAGCTGAATTCTGCCTAAATTTCTGATAGAATTAGGAAAAATAATAAATTGTTACAAGCCATTACATTTTAGGTTGTTCTTCTCCAACAGTAGGTAACAGAAACTGGAAAAATAGAAAAGGTTCAAAAGAATACAGTACAGAGACAACTGAAAATAAAAAAATGGAACCAGTCATGAATCAAGAAGGAAAAACAGAGGAGGAGCCAGTAATAGTATAAAAGTCAATGAGACGGATATAAGAAGAAAAAAAGAAAATGGGAACACCAGCCAGGATTTTGCTTAATCACTTTGGTTCTGATTGTCCACTCTCCTAAACACTTGCCAAATCATTACCCTCAAAACCCCAACTTGCTGAAACCAGTCAGCATCTGGTGTATTATTTAACCTATGCTGAAAGCTTCCTTCCAATAGTTGATCTTCTACAGAGTCAAATGTTTTATTTACGTATCATTAAATCACTTTCTTCAAAAACTGCCGTATACTTTATCAGATTATTTACAGTTCTATTTATCATGAAGGACATGTACTGATTTACCTGCCCAGATTCCTTTCATGTACTTGAAGACCCCTCCACCAAATATGTACAAGTTTTTACTTCCCACAATTTCAAATTCATAAAAAAGATACCATGTTCTGGGGACTCTATTCTCCTACAATAGCTTACTTTACAAAAATAAATGTGTTTAATTTTGCCAGTAAGCTTAGCTTCAAAGAGATCACCATTAGTTTTAAAAATCTGTTTATTCTATCTCCTGAAGCACATTTTATATTTATCTGTAAATTATACAGTCTCTGATATTTTGTACATATTAAATACTTAATATTTGTTGCTTCAATGTTAGTAGGTGCATGTAACTGAAGAAAATTAGGGTTTCACAGTAACTCCAAAACTTCTTTATATACTTTTCAATATGTAATTGTGTTCTAAATTAGGTACTAACAGAGACAGACTCTAAGTTCTTTTATTAAATCTCATCAGTTATCAAGTCTTCTTATTGATTCTCTCATTTAAATACTTCTCTAAGTTATATTCCCTTCCCCATTCTTCATGCCATGGCAATATTCAAAGCCCCGTCACCTCTCATCTAGCTTATCCGCAGTAATCACCTTTGCTAACTCATTTCCCTTCAGCCACCCTTACACCTTGGCATCCCTCCCACCAAATTCTGTTCTTCACCCATCTACATGACTGTTCAGAAACCAAATACTGATCTAAATTACTTTTGTCTAAGTTGACCCTTCCCAGTTCCTTTTACCATTCCTCAGATAGTACCTCACTGGACACACAATCTTGACATATTAAATATGATGATACCCTGACTAAAACATGGCAATTAAAATTAAATACAGTGCTTGTATATGATACAAAAATCAGATAAATAGGATTTATTTTCAAAGATATAGATAGTCACTGGAAATCATGAGGCATGAGTCATAGTTCCACAGATAGTTTGTAGCTGGGCAAGAACTAAAATAACTCCTGATCCCAATTCAGGGCTCTGTTCTAAACTGTATTTTATAACACTACTTAGAACATCATCCCCTCAAGGGGATATATGCAAAATATAAACAAAATATATATGTAAAATAGCATAAGAATTGTAAATGTGGAATGTATATTCTATGATCATGACTACCTCATGTTTTAAAAGAAAAAGAAAGTATATTTTTTAATATTTGTACTTCACTAAAAAAACTAAGAATTTTCTAACTCTTTTTGTGACAACCTTTCTAAAAATCTTCTCCTGATTTGAAAATATATAATCAGCATTAGGATCACAAACACGTTAATGAGATGCACTCAAGATAGCACTTTAGAGACAGATAGTTATCACCCAATGTGAACAGGGAGGGAAGTAAATCATAATGAATGGTAGAGGCCCTTAACTTAGGGGAAAATTATTTTAGATATTTGTCTCATTCTGACAAATGTGACATGAAACACAGACATTTCATGGTAAGCAGGGTATTTAACCAACAGTCTAAGTAACATTTCCCAAGAGGTTCGACACTCCTGAGATGAGTCACCATTTCCTGCATTTCATTAGATTTTCTTCCTACAAAGCTCCCTGAATCTAATTATTCTTACCACTAGTACTTCTACCACTGGCAAGGCATTTCTGATTAAGAAATTCAAGTGTGTTGTGTGAAAACATTTTCTTTAAGCTGTAACAATGAAAGCCTTGAAAATGTTAACTAAGAAGACTGATGATGAGCTTGCTCCCAACTATACATTTTTGCATTTTTATAATAAGTAAAAATTGGCCAATAGCTTTTTCTATCCTATTTAAGTCAACTAGATAAAATGAACCACAAAATAACTGAAACAAAAAGAGCTCTATCTTAATTATAAATGCCAAAATAAATGTTGTAGCAAAAACATGGCAAAGATCAAAGCCAATTTTTCCTGGGAAGATAACCTATTAAAAGAGATTTAATATACACCAACACCATAATTAAGCATATGCCCAGAAAATGATGGTTTCTGAGTTTTACACCTAAGTAAATGAAATACACAATTAAAAAACACTTACTCTTTGTTGTTTGTAGTGCTTAAACATTCTAAGGCAGTGTTCAATGATAAATAACAGGTAAATGCCTCCTAGAGCCACAAGTCCTTTCAATACAGCATCATGTTCTTCCAAAAACTTCTTAGATTCATGTCCATGAGAATGTCCATGCCCGTGTGCATGCTGATGACTGTGATCATGTCCACCTTGAGACTATTAATAAGAATAAAGGAAAATTCTAAACAAGTAATTAAAATGCTATTTTAAAATTTTACATTATAATTTCCTAGAGGACACAAAAAAATGCTCTCCAGTTTTTAAAGTACTTCCTTAAATATTCTTTCACTTAAAATACATGTAATCTTCCACTTAATTTTGCTATACTCAGTGGCCTAGAGTAGCACTTCATGGTAACTGTAAAACATCAAGACTGCAAACTCAAAGGCCTAGAGGGGTTAAGATACATACTATAGTGAGAGAATCAAACGGGTAGAAAGATAACAGGTCCTTTGTAAACTGAAGGGAACATGACCCAGATAAATGCCTAATATTTAGCAAAAATCAAACAAACTAATTCACCAGTAGGTCACTACTTATGGCTTTTTAAAAAACTGGTCATATTTTTATAATATCACTCTCTTATAAATTTGAGTGATAAGATGCTACCTCTGCATACACTGTCAAACATTAGCAAAGCATATGCTGAAATATGCTTAGTATTCTATATTTAAAGCTTTAGCAAAAATAAATGTAAGTACGAAAATGAAGTTATTTTTAAATTGTAAAACATACAAGTTTCACGATGTTAATCTTAGAGAACTTAGAAGTCAGAGAACCAGTCTTCAGTGTTTTCCCTCCTTGTAACATTGATTTGTATTCTTCCCCCATATGCTAGTAGTCAACAGAAGAGGTTCCTAAACTTCTCAAAGGAGGTAGGACCATTGAAAAAGGTAATAGCTTTATTTAATTAATACTCCCCTGGAAAAAAGTAAGTTAAACATACTTAAACATTATTCTCACTTCAACTGTCCTTATTATGCCCAGTTCTGAAATAAACTATTACTATTCCTGATGGCTGGTACAAAGGGCAAGCAAGGGTTGGGAATAAAGGGGGATAAGTAACATATAATGAATCAACTTCAAGTCAATAAAATATAAGTTAAAATCAACAAAAAGCTTTCATTGACAGTTTAAAGATTCATTAATTCACATTTTATAAGGTAATGCCATACATTTTTGTAGGTAGTAGATCTAGAAATCTCAATACCAGGAGTGCAGAAGGGAAGAAGAAGAATACACAAATACAATTCTGTCTGTCAAATGCAGCAGAAAGGGGGTGCAAATATTTTAAAATATTCAAACTTGTAATTTTACATTTGGAAAAGAAAAGGCTCCACTGTTTTTATAATTTGAAGTAAAAACGAGGCCAGATCAAATACTCTTAATTGACAACAAATAGATTTAGAAAGTTGACAAGCAAGGTACTAGGAGTGTAGGCTTATGATCATATCATTGGTAGTGTCCCAAATGGAAGAAAACAGGTGGTATGGCAGGTGAAAAGATAAATGGCCCCATGTGTAAAGAGCAAATACCTAAAACAGTTAACTGAGTATGTCTGCCAATTGCTGCTGAAATAAAAATACCTGTGATATACTGGCTAGAGTACAATTGTTAACAGACCCCTTATACATTTCTTCTAAAGGCTTTTTTTGATATATCATACAGATGAAAACATGTCACTTATTGATTTTTAGGTATTAATTTTCAGAACTGCTAGTAGGACAAATTGCTCTTTTAAATTTCAATTTGCTGAAGTATAACTGACATAAAATTATAAGATATTTAAAGTATACATCGTGGTGACTTGGTGTGTATATACTGTGACAGGTGAAAGTAAAACTAACACTAGTTTTTGTTGTTGGTTTAAAGCCTAATGATTCAATTTATTTCAAAAACATTGCTATTAAGACTATGCAAATAGAAAAAGCTCTTAATCCTATAAGCAAATAACACAAATACTAGTGTGCTATAGCTTGCTAATTAAGGATACTTTTAGCTTGAATATATTTAGTTTTAACTTTTTTAAAGATTAAAAAGATTTCTTACATGGGGCAGTAGATGAAGAAGGGCATCCCCGCTCATTGTTCCTACAGCTAGTGCAACAAGGAATGTGAGAAGGAATTTGAAGCATCCTTGGTTAATGATGGGGACCAAGATCACGCCTAGCAAGGAAAGCAGGCTAATGACAGTGATAGAAATGATTCCACAAATCCATGCTGTAGAAAAGAAATAGTCAACATTAGTATGGCAATATAAACCACAAGATCTCTAAGGAAGAATAAACATAATGTAAATGAGTCATGGAAGACAGATTATCTTACCCAGACTGTTTTTAAGTTTTGTATTTTGAAACTTCTTATGATGAAAAACAAAATAACCAACCTGAATACTTAAAAAAAAATTAAACTGAGACTGTTATAAATAGTATCTTCAGTGGCCCATTTTATTAGAAACATGGATTTAAAATGACTTAAGGCTGTGGTTCACTCTTTAATATTTAGACTGTAAATAAAATTTTACCAATTCTAAAGGCAGAGCCACAGCAATGAAATATTTAGAGAATATAATTATAAAACTCTTCTGTGAGCATTAAAGGAAACCTAGTATCTAATGCACCATAATTTTTGTAAATCTTTCTAATACAAAGTTTAAGAAACAACATACCAGCCAAAATGGAAATATACTCACATGAGATACAAAGAAAGCCTTAAGTACTGGTAGCTTTCTTGTATTTCATTTCTTATTTTTACAGAGGATAATTCAGTCCTATTACCCTAGATGTCATTTGTTCTCCACATCCAACTCTGCCCCTTTTCCTCCAATTTGGCTTTCTGTAGAATTTACTACTTTTTACAAATAATTTTTAATTTATGTAATTATATAAAAATATACAATTTTTAAATTAGGTCAGAACACAGAGAAAACTTAAAAATATAACTTGTGAATCATGTTAAGTGTGGTGGAAAAGGGGAGTTCTGTGCACATTTCTTTATTAGGCTGTTTATAAATTAGACTAGATACCAGAAATAAATGCCAGTTCATTTAAAATGTGAAATCACTTTCTATAAATGGCCTAAAATGAAATACAAATGTTTTAAAATTCTGCTTATTTTAATATCTATGAAAATTTCACTGTAGAATGCGAACTTTGTAAAATGTATGCATTTTTTTTACATAGACTGCTTCTATTTTAATGAAACAAACCCAAAAGGTGAACAGTCAAGCTGAAGTTGTACATTTCACAATCATGAGAAAACAAAATGAAAGAGTTCAGGACAATCGGAGCTAACACAAGAACAAGGCTGGGTTTTGATCTAAAATGCTATTTTTATAATCAAACTAACAGGACTATTAAACTGTTGAAATATTTTATGTTAAGTGTTGTGATAAGAGAACAAAGGAAAAATGCATTTCTTTAACAAGGTAACTTAAAATTTTCAAAGAGAAGTAAGGATAGGTAGAAAATGAAACTTTAACTGACCTGACCTACTATGTGAACTTTATCAATAAAATTGTGTTCATCCTCTGGACATTTTAGCCACAGTATCCAATAACATTAGTACTATGGCTTCTCGTTAGCTAAATTAACTCACACAATTGGAACCAGTAAGTCATCTATGACTAATGGAAGCTCTGTGCTTTATCCTTTATCTAACAGATAATTACTCTGATATAAACATGGAGGATCTAAAGGGTCAAAAGAAGATGGAAATACAGAGTTTGGATTCAGTGGTTTCAATTCTTGCAAGGATTTGGAGGCAAGGAGGAACAGAAACTCAATTCCTAAGGAACCAGGGTCAGAGAAAGATTCATTATAAAGCAACATCCTGGTTAGTGGAACCAAAGGGCAACAGGGAGATTCCCCCAACTAATGACTGGGACTATCCGTCACAGAAAATGAAGGTCAAAACCTTATTTTAGAAAAAAGAAATATATGAAGTCAAATAAGGCTTAAGGTTGATTTAATAACAATGACCAAAATACTTTATCTGTTTGATCCCCATACACAGGCAGTAACAATAGGAAACAGGTTGGAGAAAAGTGGCCATAGATATATATGACATCAGGGAGCCAATAAAGTTATTGGCCAACTGAATCCATACAGGTTTGTCAAAACTACCTCAGTTCTTGCTGGTGGGAATGTAAATTAGTTCAACCATTATGGAAAGCAGTATGGAGGTTCCTCAAAATGCTCAAAACAGACTTACCATTTGACCCAGGAATTCCACTCCTAGGAATTTACCCTAAGAACGCAGCACTCAAGTTTGAAAAAGACAGATGCACCCCTATGTTTATCGCAGCACTATTTACAATAGCCAAGAATTGGAAGCAACCTAAGTGTCCATCAGTAGATGAATGGATAAAGAAGATGTGGTACATATACACAATGGAATATTATTCAGCCATAAGAAGAAAACAAATCCTACCATTTGCAA